GGTGTGAGAAAATTCAATCCCGTGTCTTTGGTATTTGGTATTCAGGGGATGATTCTAACATATATAGATATATATATATATATATGAACTAATCAGTTAACTTTTTTATGACACATATATGACACATTTTACTTTTTAAAAACATTTGAACATGTTATCACACAAACTACAAGAATGTTTAATGCTTCATTAAATTCAGTTACTACGAGTTTGTGGTGGTTTGAGGCAGGAGTGCACTCTCAGTCAAACACCAAAGATCACAAATGAAATTCTTACCTGATCTTGTCTCCAGCAACCACAGCATTTCAGGTTTATTGTCATTATTATCATTAAAAAGTTAATTATCCCGACTTATTATTCTTGAGGAATTTGTGAAGACCATTAATTTGTTTGCAGCTTTTTGAAGTCTTTTAATGAATCCTTCTGATGTCATGGTCTTTATGGTCTTAAGATGCACTTTACAGGAGTGAAGCTGAGGGCGGGTGGAGTGTGTGGCTGGTGTCTCTGTTTTGTACAGGATGTTGTTCTGCAGTGAGGCTCGTTTAACAAGTTTCACTTTTCCAGGGTTAAACCTGTTTTTTATGTACTGCACACATGTAGTGATGCTTGTCCACTTAACACTGAGCAGCCTGCAGCTGTACAATAAAGTATGTTATTAAAAACTGCTTTCACTGTGTGATGTTCCTCTTTGACCTGAAAGCATAATGACAGTAAATAATATTTTCAGTAAATACTTACAAAGATGTGCTTTTGCATCTTATCATTTTAGAATATACAGACTTTTGGCACTATGACCTTTGGAATCTGTAGTTTAAGAAACTTTTCTTTGCAATTGAAATAATGTTGTTTTATCTCAATCCTGCATTTACTGAACTTATAGATATTAAATAACAACTATTTTTCTATAGATTTAAAATTAGCCTGAGAAAAATATCATTTGCATCATTCGTGTTTTTCAGGTTAGGGTAATAATCTCTCATCTCACATCAAAAAATATTATATTATTATTCAAATTTCAGCGAACAGTTTAAACACCAAGTGAGAACAAACTAAATACAAGTAAAAGAAAATAAGTAGAGAATTTAAAATGCATTCTTATGGTTCATTAGTAATAATAATAATAATAATAATAATAATAATAATAATAATAATAATAATAATAACTTACATAAACTAATGAATGATAAAATAAATGAATAAAGAACTTGCAGCCTTCTTAAATAAAACGTAAGTCTTATGTTATTCTGATCTTATTGCTTTTCTGTTCTTATTTTTATTCATTTATTACATTTAATATTTATATAGTATTATACTACACAAGCTGTTAGGCTCCACAGGTGAACACTTGTTGGTCGCTGTTCTGTTTTCTAACCATTCTGTGTTATTCTGCCTCCCTCTTGTGGTCAGACTGTGTTACTACAACAGCTAAATTTTGGTCAAAGGATCTGCATATCCTCCTTCATTACATCCCTAAATCTTCTCTGTGGTCCTCCTCTTTTGCTCCTGCCCAGCAGCTCCATTTTCACCATCCTTTATGTAATATATCCACTAACCCCCCTTTGCACGTGTCCAAACTATCTCTGCCTCTCTAACTTTAGCGGTGTCTCAATTCAGGGGCTGCATCGTTCGGAGGACCCAGGCTTTGCGGTCTATGTGGGCCGGCTCCTCCGAAGACCGAGAAGGGTGGAAGTGCGAGGCTGTGAAATGGGATGGTCACTGCAAACAAGAAGAGGCTCAGAGCAGATCCCTGGTGTAACCCCCAGCATGAATCCATGACCTGACACTCATAAAGCACACATCATCACTGTGTCACTGTCCTCCTCATACATGTCCTGCACCACCCTCTCACACACTTCTCTGCCACTCCTACCTTCCCCATAAAGTACCACAGCTCCTCTCTTAACATCTGTTTTCTCTGATCCACAAAGACTCAGTGAAGCACATTCTGATCATCTTAAAACTTCTACATCAACACTCTCAAAGCAAACATCACATCTGTAGAGCTTTTTCGCGGCATCTCACCCCCCAAAGTTATTCCCAAAGAGATCTAGTGGGGAAAGTCCATTGCCCTCTCTCATAGAAATTTCTATACATCCACAGGTATAACTGAACCT